CTTTGATCGGTTCTGTTTTGTGATCCTAGTGCTGTTGAGATCTGAATTTATCGGTATAGAAATGGAAGTTGATTTCAAGGGGGATGTGGCGGGTCTCGACGCTGAATTGTTGCAGCTTTCAGAGGTGTCTCCTTTGGCAATAAAGGCAAATCCTTTTGTTGCAGAGAAGCTTTTTGAGCAATGGCTTTCGCTTCCCGAGACATGTGCTTTGGTAATTTTCTAAACAGCCCCAACCCAGTTTTACGGAAATTTTATCATTGTGTTGTGTCCTAGTGATGATTGAATTGTATTTCTTCGCAGTTTATAGTGCTTGTTTGTTGGTTTGTTATTGAGATTTTTGTGTTTGCCTTTTTTTATAAATGCATTGTCTTACAATGTTGATAGATTATCTATGTTCTGATTTTTGTATGATGGGTTTAATAATGTTGCTGAATAATATGAATAAATGAAAAGTTATTTCCGGTAAATTCAAGATGTTGGAAGGGATGAATACCATGAATTGATGTAGAACACAAAGTGGTTGTCCTAATATTTTCTGGAGGATTTCATCAATACACTGGCCCATACAATTTTGGGTATAAGTCTTTTTGTTTTTGACAATAATCAGACATTTTACTGATAAAAATGTAGTACACCATAGAATGAAAGAGGGTGCACAAGTTGTCCAAGCCTCACATCAAAAAAACAAGAAAACAGTCCAATGAAACTTCCACATTTCCACCAGAATGGGCCAAGCTATAATACAGCTCTCGACCAGCCAATATACAAAAGAGTGAAATTCCCTCAAAGTCTTTAGTGGTTTGAGCGCAAAAGGGGCCAAGAGGAATATGTGACTCGATAATCCTTCCACCACCTGACATCTATTTTCAAAATATTAGAACATTCCTTTTCAACCAGATGACCCCAACCATAACAAGAATTGCATAATTCTAGATATTCACCCCTTTATTATGGCTCCCAAATCTCGTAAAGTCCTCAACAAACATCGAAGAAGAGGTTCGAGGAATAATTCAGTATGAACTAACAACTTAGTTCTCAGCTGAAAGCAATAAGGTAGTGTAAATATAAATGATCAACATTTTTGTTGCCACATTGATATAGCACACATAACTGCGGGTAAAGACATTCTTGAGGTTTTTTCCTCTAAATCATATGATTGGTATTGATCTTGTCATGGATAATAGTCAGTGAACAAATCTGCACCGTACTAGGTACTTTAACCTTCCATATCATCAAAGATGCGAGAACAATTGAACAAAAAGGATCATCAGTCAAGGATTCCAAAAAAAAAAAAGACTCACGAGAATATGCTCAAAAAATCAAGAAACCACCTTTTATCAAGAGACCCTGGATTAGGGTGTCAGTCAGTAAGAATTCAAAAAAGTGACAGTGTGACACCATGTCAAGAGGATCTCAGTTGTATCAGTGTCTACGAAATTTAAAATCTCAAAAAAGTGAGTGCGAACAAAACCGAATCATAGAAACCTAGGAAGCATGGATTCAGACACAGATATGGATGTTACATATACGAGGATACGAAAAAATATGAAAAAGTAAAATACGGATACAAATATAATACATCTATCTTGTTATATATATATATATATATATATATTAGTAATTACTCCTGAAGACATTAACAACAAAAGAAATCGCAAGCAATTGCCTATGTTTGAAAGTACTATATAACACAAAAAATTGCTAACTACAAAATAAGAATCCCCAACAGCGCATGAAGTAGGAGTGACAATGAGATCGTGTCATATCATAGTTGTGTCATATTATTTCAAGTTTATGTCAAAAATCTCTAAGCCTTAACACGACTTGCTTAGTTAATCATGTCGAATGACCTAACACTAACATAACTTGCTTAAAACATGATTAACTTGAGCATGGCCTTCGTAACACATTAAATAAATAGGTCATGTCTGGGTTGACGCTATGTGCTACTAACCCTTTTAGTAGTGCATGGATCAAGTTTGAATGGACATAACTCGCATGACACGATCAACACAACTAACATAAATTGTTGAACTATTTTCAACCTATTTAACGCAATAAATTCTTATTTTTAATCCAATCACAATCCACAATCCACATCCATGAAAAGTAAAATATAGGTCAAAACCATCGCAGGCGGTATTTGGAAAAGTTAAGAAGAGCACAGTCCATAATACTAAACCTGTCTTTTAGTACAACAAACTCAAGTAGCCAAAACAAAAATGCTAACCCAAATAACATAACCCGACAAATTAATTCACAATCCTAACCGATTCGCTACCACCACTGGCCTCTCTTCATCCTTATAACCTTAATCATGTGAATTTGCTAGCTCATCTTGCTTTATCTTAGAGTTGTCAAATGCAAATTGTCAAAGTGAGAGTTCAAAATAAACAAAGACTTGGGATAAATGCCTAAGGAAGTCAAATGTGATTGAACCTCAAAAGTAATTTAAGAAATGACTGTGAGTGAAGACAAAAAAACTCATTTTATGATACTATGTTTTCTAAAAGCCCAAGAAAATTGCATGATTCTTAGCTCAATTGCGTTTGTTATCACTTCGTTGAAAACCCCTTATCCTCACAATGCCAAACTTAATTGACTATGCGAAAGAAAAAAAAAATTATATGCAACAAAACAGAGAGAAAGAAACCAACAAATAATGAATATAAAAACAAAATGGCACATAATATCAAGAAAAGCTTATACCTTGTGCTCAACCATGGATGCCTTGCCTCTTGTTGTCACTATAAAGACGTTTTGAATTGTTGGAATTCCATACTATTGTAGTAGAACCATCAGAACTTATTCTTCCATCCCAACATTTAACCCCCAAATACCTTTTGCATTGTATACAGATAAAAAAAGGCGAAATGAGTACAAAAAAGAAGGTTTACTGATGATTAGAAACTGATAATATTCACTGGGAATCTACAGAAAGAAACCAAATTTACAACATGATGTTAATGCCAATACAAAGGAGATATCAATCAAAAGAATGTTGTAATGAAGAGTATACTAAAAAAATCAACTTTCCACAAAATTAAATTATTCCGAAAGACAAAGAACTATGAACTATACAGTTCCAAAGTGTGGGTATTGGACATCTTAAAAGATATGGCAAGTCAAAGATGAGTGTGAAACCATAGGACTTCAATTAAATGACTTTGGCCAGTCACAAAATGTTTCAGCATATTTTTTTTTGGGTGATAATCGACCAGTTTTATACTTGCTAAATTTTTCACCAAATGTGTTCAGTTCACCTAATGTCTATCGAAGCAAAATCAACCCCAAATCTATCAATTTTAAGAAAATATTGGAGCCTATGGTCATACCTCACACGAGAGCATGATTAGATTTTATAGTTTCTGGGCAATATTTGATGTTTCGTGTTATAATTATAATCTACACATAACTGAATGCAAAAAAGAAAAAAAAAAACCCTAAACTAAACTAAACTAAACGAAAAAATACTCTAGGAATTTGTAGAATTGTTCTAGAGATAGAGGCTTTTTATCCATAATTCAATCTCTTTCTTGGAGGCGAGAAGTCTTGTGGAGAAAATCATGTTCTTGAGCATACTACAAAAACACAGATGATAGAAATAGATAGCAATGAAAATTTTTAAACAAAGAAATTGGCATGGGGAATAAATACAACTAGAATCAAGTTTTTAAGAAATCAAGTATTCAAAACCTTTAGTCAGATATTTCATTTTCAAATAAATTAATGACTCCAACCTACATCAAAAAAAAAAAAACTGCCTTACATCCTAAAACAAGTAAAAGAATTTACCTCTCAATTTGAAATAATAATAATTGTAAAACAAAACACACAATGAAACAAAGTGCACAACAGAAATACCACTTGCCACTTAATAGAACAACAAAATTAGTATATAAAGGAGAATAGAGAACAAAAAAGTGTCAATAATAAGCCTCTATATATACAGAAACAAATGAAACCATGAACATCAAGAAATAAAATACCCAAGAGTATAATATGATAATTTTTAGCGAAGATGAGAAAGTTGCAAGGTTGAAAACTGGTGGCAAAAAGCGGAAATATAGCGAGTTTTAGAGAAAGTCATCAACAAATAAAGAGGAAAACAAATTTTTTTTTGATACATCTGTGGTTGCTTGTGTTTGTGTTTTGCAAAAACCCTAAACCCGAAACCCTCTCTTGAAAAACCCCCAATTTTATTGCTTGTGTGTTTTCTGTGTGTGCTTGTGTGTTTTGCTTGTGTGTGTGTGTGTGGGAAGCAGAGACGAAGAAAAGAGGAGAAGAAAGGGGATGGAAAAATGACTGGAGGCTATGTGGCAGTGGTGTTGTGGTGTAGTGTTGTGTGTGTGTGTGGGAGAAAGAGAGAAAAGTGAAGAGGCGTATATGGAATTTGACTGGGGTGTGTGAGAGAGAGAAGAGAGATGCATATGAATGAGAGTCTAAGAGTCTCAGAGATAAGGTAGAGATGGGAGTCGAGTTCTGTATGGAATGAGGGAGTCCTACTGAAATTTTTGGGTAGAAAAAATATTTTGGGAATCAAGTAGGATCATTGGATCAAATATAAATAATTCTAAAATGAATTGGGACGCAAAAAACTTGACACAAGTTTGGGATTCAAACACAGTCCTACTTTATTATATAAATATAGTTATGTATACAATACAATATTATTATAATACTAGGATCTCAAGGATTACGTGATAAGAGTTCTCACCTTTGACTTAGCTTCGAATTACAATAGACTTTGTTGGTTTTGACATAAGCCATAAAACTTGACTATTCAGCCTAAGCAAGTTGTAAAGAATTCCCACTTATCTTCTCAATCAAAACAAGTCTCTATAGGAGGTATGTAAGGCGCCTCCAATCAACTAATTTTTTCCTAAATGTTATAATGAGCACAAACTCGTACTTTTAGACTACTGGGCACAAAGGTTGATTTAAATCTACACAATCCAATCCACCACACTAAGTGTAAGAAGCATGTATCCACCTCGAAGATGCGCGTATCTGATGTGTAGCCGACAATTATCTAGCAATGGCTGCAAATGAGAAATTATTCTCGATCAGGTGGTATTGATTGATGCTGTCTGTAGCACAAGAGAAGGGTGTTGATGCAAAAATCATCAAGCTTCAATGGAATGGACCTAGCCAAGTGTGGGATAGTAGTTCTGCTAGGCTTCCCTGCCATGTCCCCTGACTGCTGCTTGGTGTGGATTAGCATAAGTCATTTCTAGTGAAAGAGGGAGCGGCTCTCGAGAATCTGCCACCTTAAGGATAAATATTTTATTAACTGATCTAATACGTATGAAAGGTATTTGATACATATCTTTAAGTACTCAATTAGTATCGATATCCGATATGTATCAAATACGGATATGTCACCTTAATCCAAGTATCCTAGCTTCATAGATAGAAACTATATTGGCAAATATCCGTACCTGTCTAGACAGAGAACTATACTTGGAAGCTCTCTAAACGAATGACTCTTTTAAATTATGTTGATACTTTGACATATTACAGGTAACGTAGGAAACTTCTTTATTTTTCTCTAGAATCTTTAGAATTACCACAACGTAGCTTTTGATATAGAAAACTTTTATATTATGCTTTATAATTACACTTTTATTTTTTGCACTTTTTTCCTTTTTATATTTATTTATGTATAGTAGTTTTTAATTTATTTTTTTATCAATCATTTGTTTTGTGTAAAAGTGTAAGATTGTCCCATGCATGTAAAAGCATGGGTTTTTTTTTTTTAAATTTTATTTTATATTAAAAAATCCTTTTGATCATATTTTTCGGTTTTATGTTAAATATGTTGATGTTGAAATTCACGTCAAGTTTCTACCTAAACCATGGTGGAAATAAGTTAAGAATCACAGTTTAACAAATAAAGTCAAAAGTTTGGGAATTGATACCAAAAACTTGGCACTCCCTGTGACTTTGTGCCCGTCTTTGCTTCCCCACCCCAACTCCCACTCATCGGCTCTTGGCCACGCGACACATTGTGTACAACCTATGTCCCCAAAAAGTTGGAGTTGCTTGGTTGTTTGTGGCAGAACTTGGTGTTGACAATATGGACCAATCCATCTATCTTGTGGTAAAAGGGAATGCCTGGAATCTGCTGGGATCTACCTTGTACATGTATACTTTTTGTTCGTTTGATCTTTAATATTGGAAATTCAGCCTATCTTCTGTTAATGTCTGCATGTTTATAAAACCTGTGACCTTAATCAGAGCTGCTACCTTCTTTCACTGACTGCTATATGCATTGAGAAGCCTATGCATTATATGCTGCGTCTTGCAATTTCTAATTCCTACACATCCATTTTAGTCGTTGGTTGCCTGCCTCTTATTTTACCTCTTCCAATAGGCAGGAGACTTGTGCACTGCATAGATTTTTTTTTTTTTTTTGGGTGTGGCCCAATGTTCCTTGGATCGTGGGTCAATTTGGTACGTGATATGGATACAGATATATAGTATAACACTTTCTTAGGTATGCGGTACGCTTGGGGATGCATAAACGGGTATGGTGTTTTAGGTCCCAATTTGTTTTGGAACTCTTATGTAAACCACTTTCACTACTATGTCAATTACTATTTATTTTGCCCTTGCGATACATTTTCCAAAGCAAATTGATTTAGAGTTAGGATTACAGTTTGGGTTCGGACATTTAGGTGACCTGGATCACGAACCCACCCATTTCAGATTGTTGTACCCAGATTGTGGATTGTCACTATGATCTGTCCATGATATCCTATTTTTATAGTTTTCATTTTGTGTGTGCAGGTAAAATCTTTGATAAATAATGCTAAGGCAGGTGTTCCCTTGAATTTCTCTGGAACAGCCTCTAGCTCAAATGTGGCTGCAAGCAATTCCTTACCTTCCATGTTTCCAGCTGGCAGTGCACCTCCACTTTCACCAAGAAGTTCATCTGGTTCTCCTCGTGTCTTGAAACAAAGGGCAGGTCCTTCTGCATTAGGTTCTTCTCTAAAATTAGTGAGTGAGCCAGTTAAAGAGTTGATACCTCAGGTCTGACTAATCTCTGATAATTTTTGGTTGTATCTCTGTGCAGTATTACTTCTTTCCTACATTTAGAGCGTTGCTTTTTTTTTTTTTGTGGTAGCTTGTATCTCTGGTAGCTTGTAAATTTAGTAAAATATATGCAATGGTTGCAGTTCTACTTCCAAAATGGCTGTCCACCTCCAAATGAACTAAAAGAACGATGTGTGTTTAGGATCACTCAGTTTTTTTACGGTCACAAGGATGGGCTACAATTACAAGGTGAGATATACTCGAAACATATTCGTTTATCAAACATATATATATATATATGTTCTGGTGGAGGGGGGGTGTTGGCAGAATGTTTAATATTTCTTATTTTTTGTGGGATGTCAGAATTTAAACCAGTTACAAAGGAAATTTGCAAGCTGCCATCGTTCTTCTCTACTGTTCTTTTTAGAAAGATTGACGTTGATTGCCTTGGCATTGTAACCAGGTATGCTATAGTTAATTGGAGTTTCTCAATAAATTTGATATTGAATGTTCATATTAGTTTATTTTATGTGTCTTTATGATTCTTAACTCGTTTATGATTGATCTTGTGAATAGTATAAGGCTAAATATTTTGATCTATGCATCCTTGTGGTTCTAAAAATCCTTTATGATCACTCTTGTGAACCGGTATCAAGAATTTGTTTTGGTGCATAGTTTCTTTCAACTCTAAAACGGGATGTTTTGGACACAAAATACTTGCCCCTTTCTATGTTATTAGTAAAGCGCTAACGTGTCCCTATGTGAGCCTTATTAAATGAAAAAGGCCCTTTACCATACTATAGATAGGGTGGTAGTGCTTTAGTTTGATTAAGGGTTCTTTATCTCTGCCTCCAAGTATTCCAAAAAATTCAGAAACATTGCAAAACATGGGGATTTCAATTTTCCATGACCGATTCATTTTTGGGGTGAAAACTGATAACTTTCGGTCATTTCGGTAGAAACAAAACAAAATTTTAATCCTTGCTTGTGAATAATATAAGACTAGGTATTTTGAAGTGATGTTCCATTTGACATAATTTGTCCAAAGTCATTTCGGTTTGTAATTGAGGATCTTTTACAAAGGTTTGTATTATGATGAAACCTAATTGAGGATCTTGTGTTTAGAATTTGGATGGTGCTCGATGGACACCTAAGTGAAGGATTTAGATTCATAGATTTAGGTAAACTCTCCTCAAGTCACCTATGTGTTCGTGTCCATGTCCTACTTTTTTGAGAAATGATGTGTCTACATTTCCGTGCCTCTTAGGTCTCAACTGATGATCAATAAAGGTTAATGGAATAGATTGTGTTACATCTCATGGATGCTTATGAATCACGTGATTTTGAGATTTTGTCCTCCGTGTCTGTGGAAAAAGTGTGGACTTCATGTAATAGTCTTATTTTATGGAAAACCAGACAACTCTGCCCAGCAGGTCCAGTCATATTAGTTGTTTGGGTTTCCAGATTCTGGAACTGAAAAAAGATGTTATTGGTTGCCTATTCTTTTAATTGGTTTTAGAGTTTCAGAAAATTGCCTGTTTTTTTTCCCCTGAAATCTCGTAGGTATAGAGATGAATCTGTTGCTCCTTTTGGCATCAGTTAGAATCCTACATACAAAACTACTATTCTTTGGAATACTTTCCACAATAGGCAAGGCCCTCTATAAATGCTAGTTTCTTCAATTTATACAAAAGATCTTACCAATGAGGATGTGGATGGCAGGCTAGATATATTTTGGACAACAACTTAGTTCCTACTTTTTTAATAAAATTAAATCAAAAGATATTGTAAATAAGAAGGAATACAAAAGAGAACAAGGAGTGCCCTAAAAGTACAAATTGGAAAAAAAATCAAATGGAGGAAGAAAGTGCTTCAATCTTTAGCTCTTGAAGCCCAAAGAGATGCCAAAGAAAATTTTGTCTCATAATTCTTCCAACGAATGCTCTCTATCATCAATATCGTCCAATATCAATCCAATCATACCATTCACAATATTGTCAAAAGCGGACATGTCCATAAGATCTTAGATCTCCTACAACCCTTCTTGCGCCAAAACCCAAAAATCAAACCGATTCACAACACTGTGGAATCACATGGGACGACTTCAATTAACAACCATCTATTCCGCAAATTTGAAGATTCCGAGCAATGTCAAATTATCCATAAAACTCTATTACTAAAAGATAAAAACAAATAATATCTAAAAATCTCAAAATAAATCATCGTCTATCCTATTCCAATCTGATCCTCATCAGATCTGCAATTGACTTATTTGGTTGCACCATTGTAATATTAAATGGTGAATTACAGAATCATAATATATTAAAACTCTCTAATCTAACTTTATACTGCATTTGGTTGTAAAAAACACTCAATAATATAGTCTTATTTCAAAAGCTTATTCAAATAATACACTTTATCTATACTATTGAGTCGATTATAATACTACCTAGGGAGGTGGTATTATAGTCCAGTTCAAGTGTATTAAGTTATAAATTTACTATTTTACCCATCAAATAAACAAAAATATTAATAACTAGACAAGATTTATGGTTTTTAAGTCAATATGTAATTAGGACTTTATTATCCTACTCTTAATCCAGTGTATTACCAGATTACAATGCGTAGTATTTTTGTCCTATATTTAATCTTGTATTTTATTTGTTTATACGAAATTAGTTTGTATTATCTAATACAACCCATTCTTTTACAATACGTACTCAAATGAGACGAAACTGGAAAAAGATACACGTATGACCATTTTGTAATTTTCTACTCTAATCGAAAAATAACGTCTTTTCGGAAGGATTTAAAATAGTGAAATGACATCTAGGTTTTTCCTTTTGGTTTGATCTGAAACAAATGAACTCGATGATCTTATGCTTCTCCTGCTTTTTGTTGTTGTTCTTCTTCAAACAACAAAACCTAGTTGTATTTCAAGTTTTGTCACAAAGAGAAAGTGTAGTCTCTCTTTTGATCATTGTTGTAAAAGCTTATTGCATGAAATGATAAATGAATTGAAATGGTATTTGGATTTATTTTAGACACTCTATTTCTATATATCTATATGTGTATATTTTTATTAATATTTTTAAAATTGATCGTACCTTAACATAAATGAGACATTATGATTATTGATACATTATTTTTGAAAAACAATACGCATTACGATCCATGTTTTGACTACCTTGTTTACAATTTGATTGCTTGACTACCTTTGTATCCAAGTTGATTGAAACTGTGGACCAAAATAAAAGTTTGATCCCAGGGGCCTGTAAATATGCATATAACCTTTCATAATGAATAGTGATCAATTTAAGAGAAATTTTCGAAGCTTTGAAGCCTCTTTGTGTTTGTGTGATGCAACCCTAAACGATTTGTGATGCCCAAAGATATCTAGGAGTGGTTCCTAGCTTCTTCTTTCTTCTTCAATTTAATTTTCTTCTAACAAATCCAATTAAGCTTTCTTTAAATGCCAAGAAACCCTAATCAGCAAATCCAACAATTTCCTTCAACGAAACTTCATGCCCAGCACTGTAAGAACCTATAATCTGTTTCTATTGTTTACAGAGTACTGTTCAAAGCCTTTGAATACACTCAGTTTTGATGCCAAAACCTTTATTGTTTTAAATCTCAGAGCATTTATTGACCAATCTCCTAATTAACTTGATCATTCTCTGACTAAATCTAATTATAATACGTAGCATTTTGTTCTAAACTTGTGTGGTGCTGCATGAGGAAGTTCTCTCGATGTTCTGTTGAGATTATGAATTTGTAGTTGAAGTTTGTTTTGCATTTTCACAACTCATAATTCTTTTGAAAGTGACATTTGAAAACCCTGCAATGCCATTTGAAGGACTTGAGCAACGAGCCTTCCTGGCCTGGAAGCCATATCTAAGTAAAGAAACCTTCTCTCCTGTACTGATTGTGAATACCGGCTCGGACCTTGGTTGAAAGGATCTTTTGTTTAAAATAACCCTCTTAGTGATGAACCCTGATTTTTTGCTTATTATCTCAGAATAATTTAGCAGATGGCGAAGTCTTTTGTAATATACCCAGAAACTAACTTGAGACTTGCCTGCTAGAGGCTTGAATAAGTAACTAAGCGTTGGGCATTTCGTGATTTGAGCATGGTACATATATGTTCTCTGGGCTTAAATGTTGGGGGACCAGATCTCACAGACAGATCCTTTTGTTTTCTATATTCTATATGGAGTAAATCTTGAAGCTCTACATCACTAATCGTTCACTTCCCCCGTCCCCCTCCTTTTGAGGAAAACAATGTTGATATTATAGGAAAAGTTGCACAGGGTGAGGAGAAGCTGGATATTGGTTATGGTTTTTCTTTTGATTGTTTCATGTTACATACCTGCTATTTGACAAGGATAGATGATGAAGATTTTTAAAATGGGGGAAGACGAAGAATTTTTTTTTGAGGATTTGGGATATATCAAGCCTATACCCAGTTAATCCTTGCCATTTTGTGCATGCATTACTTTTGTAAGCATTTAAGTCCCTGAGAGGATCGATCAGAAAAAATTGACGTGATTGTGTTCATATAGAAAGGAAAGTAGGATCTCCATATTGGCTTTATATCAGGACTTCAACTCTACAGGTTCCGTTAACAAAGGAGCAGGAGTTGTCACTTGAGCTTTGCGGGTTGTGGATTATGAAGTTAGAAGGCTTCCTTGTGGATGAGGCAATTTATGATCATGTGAGAGAGTACAAAAACAACCAGTATTTTTGCCTTTTGGCCTTGTGAGCAGAGCTTGTTATGCATTAATAGAGAATTTTAGATGTCACTTTTTGGTGGTTTAAACATTACTTAGTGTGCTAATGTAATGCATTGAAGACTATAATTGCATAGAAACATGTGGCATTTGCATATTCTTCCTTCATCATCCCTTTTTTGTTGTGTTTCTAAGGAGTGGATGATTATATTTCTTCAAATTAAATGGTTTTATAAAGATTCTAGCATTTGGTGCTTTAGCTTAAATATTCCATGCTCCTTTCCTGTTTTGGGCCTTTTAGCAATCTATAGTGAAAGAACTCTGACATGACATCCTATGGGACCAAAGTGAGCTTTATTGGGTGTTTTTGGCAGCTGTTAAGAGTATTAGGGTATCATGTGTAAATATAAGTGGGTGTATTCGTCTCTCTTATTATTGTAAGTTAACTATAAATACAAGTGATATATGAGAGGTAGGTTAAGTTTTGACCTCTCTCTATTTTTCTCTAATATTGTGTTAATTCTTTCAACTTAACATGGTATCAGAGTCAAAACAATACAAATATTAACTCTTTCGGTTCGCGGTTGTGTGATTGTTGTCGGAGTTTGAGGTTGTGTAGTGTTGTTCATCATGGTCTCGTCTGTTGGTCGTGGTAGTCGCTGGTTGTTCTTGGCACCGTCGACTGGTATGGTCGATGTTGGTGGCTTCTAGTTTTGCTTCGTTGGTGGCTTCTAGTTTTGCTTCGTGGTGGTGTAGTGGCTTCTAGTTTTGCTTCGGTGGTGTAATCGCTGGTTGTTCTTGGCGCCGTCGACTAGTGTTTTATTTTTGCAATGGTTGTTGGTCGGTGCTTTGTTCATTGCCGTCAACGTTCAAGGAGCATTAGGGTTTGTTGGTGAAGAAGACGACCCACTCGAACTGGGTCGGTTGCGGGTTTGGGTAACAGATTCAAATCCAGATCCAAGTCAAGAATTGAGTCCAGATTCATATCCATAACTGGATCCAGGCCCATATCTAGGAGACTTACCTCAGATCCATTAGCCTCAGACCAGACCGGTTCAAACCTGGTTTAATCCCAGGTCAATGAGTTTGCACCAGTTCAGTTAGTTTTAGACCGGTTCCATCTGTTTTGTCTCCGGTTCAGTGGTCCACTGGATTTCTCTAGTCTGGTTCAGCAGTCTAGTGAACTTCTCTGGTCCGGTTCAACGATCCAACTAAGTTTTTCGGCTCGGTTCAGTGATCCAGTAACCTTTTTCTTCTTCGGTTCTGCAGTGATCTAGTGATTTCCTTTTTCTATTTGCTGCACTATTATGAAACCCAAGCAAGATGCTAACTCCCCTATTCCATCTTTGTCACTTACCTTTTCTTCTCTAGTTCTTGTTAATGGTCCCATGACCTCCATTAAACTCAATGGAACCAATTATACTTTATGGTCCTGTTTCGTTCAAGTCTTCCTTCAAGGCAAAGGTTTTAAGAAATATTTGGTTAATCCTAAACCCAAGAAAGACACTTCTGGATATGATCAACGGGAACAAGAGGACGCTCAGATTATCTCTTTATTGTTGAATAACATTGAGTCTAGTATTAGCTCTACTCTGTTCTATCTTGACACTGCCAAAGAAATATGGGATCACTTGACTATAATGTATTCTGGTACTGGTAATATTACTCGAGCTTATGAGGTGTGCAAGGAGTACTTCTGGCTGGAGCATAGTTCTCTAAGCCTTGAGGATTATTATTCTCATGTTCGGAGAGTTTGTGAGGAGATGAAGACCTATCATCCGTTTACTACTGATACGGCAGTTTGGCAGAAGCAACATGAGGACTTGAATGTTGTTAAATTTTTGATAGGATTGAAACCGGAATATGAGGCTATTCGTTCTCAGATTTTGGATGGTTCTAGCCTTCTCTCACTGTTTGAGGTTTTCTCTCGTTTACAGTGTGCTATTTTGTCTACTTCTTAAGGTATTTGATCATGGTGTCTTCATTGATCGCTCAGCTCTTGTGGTTATTAGTAGCCATAGTGATGGTCATCGAGGTAGACGTGGTAGTCGAGGAGGTCGAAAGGGTGGTCGTAGGGGCCGTAGTGGACCTCGTTACTGTACTCACTGTGGTCATGGAGGGTACACTGTTGATTTCTGTTGGGATTTACATGGAAAACCTTCTGGTGTTGCTAATTAGGCTTCCTATCAGGATGACACTTTGGTTGTTTTCATACTTCGGTTAGCTCCACCAGACACTGGGTCGGTTACTATTACACGAGAGAAGTATGCCCAGTTCCTGTCCCAGCAACAAGTTGTTCCATCTCCCTCTACTGTTACTTTTGCCTAGTCAGGTACTATTTCTACTTGTTTATTATCCTTCACTCGTAGTCCCTGGATCATAGACTTTGGCGCTTCTGATCACATGACTGGTGCGTCTGGTGTTTTTTCTACTCATCAGCTTGTTACTTTCACACGTAGTGTTATTCTCGCTAATAGTACTTGTTTTAAAGTTTCATGTTTGGGGACTACTCACTTGAGTCCTGACATGTCTCTATCCTCTGTGTTATTTGTTCTTCAGTTTCCTTTTAGTTTACTTTCTATTAGCAATATTACCTGTTCTCTCAATTGTTCTGTAACTTTTTATTTCTCTTATTGTGTACTTCAGGATCTCAAGTCGAAGAGGAAGATTGGTACGGGACATGAAGCTGGTGGCCTATATTATCTTGATTTTGATTCACCTACTTGAGCTCTATAGACCTTGTCTCATTTTCAATGGTATTGTCGTCTTGGACATCCCTCTTTCCAGAATCTGAAGCACTAAATTCTTAGTTTTAGTTATGTGTCGTTTTTGTCTTGTGAAGTTTGTCAACTTAGTAAGCATCACCGTGTGTTCTTTTAGTCTAGAATCAATAATTGTGTCTAGTTTATTTGAGTTGGTACATTATGATGTATGGGGTTCAATAAAGAATATTTTATTTAATAAATATCCTTATTTTGTGTTATTTGTGGATGATTATTTTTATATGACCTGGTTGTTTTTTATGAAAGTTCGTTCTGAATTATTCTTTATATTTGAGACGTTTCACAAGGAAATAAAAACTCAGTATGGTTGTTGTATACGTATTTTACGTTCTAAAAATGCTTGGGAATATGAATCTGATCTTTTTTAAGCTTATCTTAGTAAAATTGGCATTATTCATCAGATTTCTTGTGTTTACACCTCTTCACAGAATGTTGTTGCTGAACGCAAGAACTGCTATTTGTTGGAAGTTACCGTACCTTGTTATTCCAAATAAATATTTCTCGATATTTTTGGAGTGATGTTGTTCTTACTACTTGTTATCTTATTAATCATATGTCATCCTCTGTGTTAAATGGGCAAAGTCCTTATTGTTCTTTTTCCTGATAAGCCCTTATCTTTCCTAACTTTTAAGGTTTTTTGATATGTCTGTTATGTTCACAATCTGGGTCCTAGGTTTGATAAACTTGACCTTCGAGCTACCAAATATGTATTTCTTGGATACTTTCTCGCACAGAAAGGATATCGTTGTTATAGTCCTTCTCTGCGACGATACTTTACTAATGCTGATGTCACGTTTGAGGAATCTGTTTCATATTTTTTGGCACCTGCTCAGCCTTTAGATCTGGACTTTGGGTCGTCTCTTGTACCACCATCTCTTCCCTCATCTTCAGATATTCCGTTGCCTACTGTGTTACCCTCTACTTTATCTTTTTGTGTATACTCTTGTCATCTTCGCCCATCGACTGAAGTGCCCGTACCGTATTCCTTGCTGCTTTCTGATCCTGGTACATCAGGTAATTTAGACTCTTTACCTATTGCTCTTTGAAAAGATATTCGTTCGTGTGTTACTACTCATCTCATTGCTCATTTTGTTTCATATGATGCCTTATCTTCTGTCTTTTTTTATTTTACCTCTCAATTATTTGCTATATCTATTCCTACGCACTTACAAGATGCGTTATCTAATTCGGGTAAGAGGAAAGTTATGGAGGAGAAAATGGATGCCTTACATTATAATAGGACTTGGGATTTCATTCATTTACCTTCTGGTAAACGAACTTTTGGTTGTCGTTGAGTGTATACTGTTAAATTTTATCTGGATGGTTCTGTGGAGCGTCTCAAAGCCCGGCTTGTTGCAAAGGGCTTTACTTAGACTTATGGTGTTGATTATGAGGAGATTTTCTCTCTTGTTGCCAAAATTTTCTTTGTTCGTATCTTGATTTTTTTGGTTGCTAATTTTGATTGGCCCTTGTTTCAGTTAGATGTCAAGAATGCCTTCTTACATGGTGAATTGGTTGAAGAGGTATATATAGAGCAGCCACCTGAGTTTACTGCTTAGGGGGAATACGGTAAGAGTGTTTGTTGGTTAAAGAAATTTTTGTATGGTTTGAAGCAGTCACCGAGGGCATGGTTTGGTAAGTTTTCAGATGTAATTTTAGAGTTTGGTCTTCTTTGATGTTAGACAAACCATTCTGTGTTTCATAGACAGACGGATGCTGGAAATGTTTTATTGGTGGTCTGTGTAGATGATATTGTGATTACTGGAAATGATTTTGAGGGGATTGTCAAGTTAAAAATTTTCTTGCAAGATCGATTTTATACTAAGGATTTGGAAAATTCAGGTATTTCTTAGGTATCGAGATGGTTCGGTCTAAATAGGGTATTTGTTTATCCCAGAGGAAAAATGTAATTGACATGCTAAAGGAAGTAGTTTGTTGGATGGGAGACCGATTGTTGTTCCTATGTATCTGAATCCGAAACTGTTGATGGATGATGGTGCACTGTTTAAAAATCCGAGTCGGAATCACAGATTGGTTGGAAAACTCAATTATCTCACTATTACTCGGCCGGATATCTCTCATGTAGTCAGTCTAGTAAGTTAGTTTATGGGGTGTCCTAGAGTACCACATTGGGAGGCAGTTACTCGTATTCTGCGATTTCTCAAACGTGTTTCTGGCTTTGGATTGTTATATCGAGTTAATGGACATCTTAGAGTGGAAGGCTTCTCAGATGCTGATTGGGTTGACTCTTTTTCTGATTAGAGATCAACCACTGGTTATTATACTTTCTTAGGAGGTAACGTTCTCTCATGAAAAAGTAAGAAACAATTAGTGGTAGCAAGATCCAGTGCTGAGGCTGAGTATAAAGCAATAACGCATATGACGAGTGAATTGGGTTGACTATTACACTTTTTTCAGGAAATTGAATTTCCAATTTAACCTCTTTTACAATTGTTCTATGACAACCAGACAACTATCCATATCGCTACCAATCCAGTGGTTCACGAGAGAACCAAACATATTGAGTTTAATTATCACTTTATTCGAGACAAGATAGTAACTGGGGAGGTTATGACTCCATTTGTAAAATCTGAAGATCAACTTGCAGATATATTTATCAAGGCATTGAGTCGTACACGTTTTACAACAATTTGTTCCAAGCTTAGATTATATGATATATATAGTTCAGCTTGATGGAGAGTGTTAAGAGTATTAGGGTATTATATGTAAATATAAAAGGGTGTATTCGTCTTTCTTATTATTATAAGTTAACTATAAATACAAGTGATGTATGAGTAGTAGGTTAAGTTTTGACCCCACTCTATTTCTCTCTAATATTGTGTTAATTCTCCCAACATAACAGCAGCCAATCAAATGTTTCACAGCCACTCATGTAGAGATGTCTTCTAGACTGTCCAACTGCTGTCGAATAAATCTAGTCTTTTTGGCATCCTAATATGTGGTTGGTATTGTTTGTGTTGGAGTTTAGTATGAGTATGCTGTCATATTTCAAATTACTGTATTTTTACTGTTGCATGAAATGCGTAATTATGGATGGGTAATAACTTGACTGCAGGGTCTACTTCAATTGGTGCTGTGTGTGTAAGGAGTTGGCGGAAGGTGTCAATATCAGTTACTTGATTGCAGGGGTTGTTTGGGAGTTGTAGAGTCTTGTATTGTCTTGCTGTTCATCTCCTGAGTTATGTTGGGTTTCAGGTTGGAGCTGTAAGGTGGGAGTGTGATGAAGATAAGGGAAGTAGTGTCCCAAAAATATTGATGTGGAGCCCTTGGATAGAAAGGAACAGGAGAGCCTTTGTGGGGGAGAAATCTCATTTATAAAACTAAAAGCCTGATGATGTTTTTTCTGTTTTTTGCAAATGACATTGCATTAGACTCCACCTTATTGATGATCTAGTAGATCTACTTGGGGATGTGTATCAGTATTTCATGGAGATAATATCTGCTTTATGTATACCTTGCATGTATAGGGTTGTACCCTTTTTTCTTTGGTGCCCTTTAGTAGATTCTCTTATTAAATATTACCAAAAAGAAGAAAAATTGTTGTAATGCTGTGTTGCTAATTACGGTAAATTATAAGCTGCTCCTGAAAAGAAAGTACAGCTAGCTGTTGTTGATTTGTCAATATTTCATTGCTGTTGAATGATATTGCCACTAGCAGTCGTTAGTATTTTTCATCTTACTTTGCCTGTTGACATTACTGTAGGGACGCATTTGTCAATTATTGGGTCCATGGCAACATGTTGACGAAGGATGTAACAACCCAAATATTTACAATCTTGAAGCAGCCAGATCTCAAATACCTCACTCAGGTGTTTTTTTGCTTCTCGTTCCATGTTTGTTGTTTCTAATTGAAACTGTCTGATACATTACTGTCTATTATCTTCTAAATCTCAATTAACCCTAATTTTACCATTGGTTTTATCACTCTCCAAAATGATGCTCTTTGTGACTTCCCCTTCTCATATTCAATATTGCTTGTGAAATTGACAATAGGATGACTTCAAACCAGTGCTTCGAGAACTTTTGGCAACTCATCCGGGGTTGGAGTTCTTGCAGAGCACACCTGAATTCCAAGAAAGATATGGTATATCCTCCTTCTGTGATATATCTTTTGGTTGTGCTTATATTTGATGTGGTTGTATTCTTTCGCTATAAATCTGAGTTGCCTGCCCTTCTACTTCTTGTAACTGATGATACTTCAAAAGGCTAAAAATTTTAATATCATCTGTGTGATAATTAATGGAATTGTGTGCTTTTTCTCTGTACTCTTCTTTTCTATGATAATTTTGTTGTTTATTTATTTTTTTCCCGAAAAGGCTTAAGGGAAGCCACCTCATGCACAGATTGTGCTCTATCTAGAGCATCCTACCTGGCACCAGTAATGCTTAATGCATCTCCTTTGTAATTTTTTGATGTGTTAAGTAACTTCTTGAAGACCCTAATATTGTATGTAAAGCGACCTTATGTGCATATATAGAGAATAGGCTTTTTCTAGAGCATCCTACCCAGCACCAACAATGCTTAATGCTTTTCCCTTTTTTTATCTTTTAGCTATGTTAATTAACTTAGAGGTGGCCTTGGCGCAGCGATAAGGTTGCTCCATTTTGACTTAGGCGTCAAGGGTTTGAGTCAGGTAAACAACTGCTTGTGAGGGTAAGTCTGCATATCTAACCATCCCTAGACTCCCACAGAGACTGAAGCCTTGTGCGCTGGACCACCTTTTTTAGCTATGTTAATTAACTTCCTAGAGAGTCTACTTCCTTTTTTTCTTCCTCTCCTAATCTACAATCCCATTAAATCGCTTATTTTGCATTTGGTAATTATATTCATCAAGTCCAAAGAGCCGCCTTCAAACATGGGGACCATTTGAACAAGGGTTAACAACTGCAAGGTTATGGGGTTCAAATTTGGTGGTTCTTTGGACAAGTAATGCCAATGGTTAAATTTGTATACAATCCGTCCTTCCAGGACCCTCGACTAATAGAAACCAAACTGGGTCATGTCTTAATATGTTGATATTATTTCTTTTGGTGGCATTTCAACTATTCAAGTATAAAAGTTTAATATGAATTGTCGGCAATGGAAATCCTTTTTTATTAGATGTCTGTTTTCTTCTGTACTTGCAGTTTGTCAATTCAAATGAACATTTTCATTGGTGGTTTGTTCTGGTAATAAAAAGGGAACTTATTGGAGATATAAAGGAGGTGAAGAAAAGCGTATTTGTATGATAATAAAGCAAAAATGGAATTAATGAGAAGAGATTATGAAGTGTCTGTGATACAAAGCAGACTTGGGCATGTTATGAATGATAAATTACTTAAAGGCAATATTCTGATGATATTGGTACTTATCTAGCTATTAAGTGAATGAGTACCACCGAATGATTCATTTGGTTAAAGTAATAGGGCAAAATGTAAATGGCATAAATCTGTTTCTTATTATTTTTACATCGACACCTTCACTCTGAGTTTTTCTGATCATAGAATAAATTCAATGTGAGTTACACGTGGGCGTCTTATGACTGGGAAAATACTACTCTCTTCCCAAAAGCTTTGCAGCCATACATCCTTTGAATACGTAAACAGATTTGAGTAGTAGGCTTTAATCTGGTTTGAGTACCCCAATCACTAAGCTTACGCAGTTGTACATGATATTTTATTCTCGCTAAAGTTTTGCCTGATGCTTTCAATAACCTTGTGGCTCGTTTGGAAGCCATATTAAAAAAGGGGAATTGATTAGGAAAATGTGGCTAATCATACTTGGGTTTGATAAAAACAGTTACTTTAAATGGAAGACAAGAATACTATCCATTCTAATTCCGCATTTGACATATACAGAGGACAAAGAGTTGGACAAAGGTCCCTTATGCCACGATATTAATGTTTGAATTGGCCAAAATGCCCTTAATTCACTCTAATCTAACCCCTTATTTGGTGCATCAATATTCTATAGGGTTGAATCAGTAGAACTAAGAGTTATAAATAATATTTGTAATGAATAATTCGATTAATGTAGAATCAGATTGGCATGCTTTAATTGTATTATTAATAATATGGAGTCAAATTTTTATCCAACGTACGGCCCTAAAATCAGCTATTCATTATTATTTGCAGATATAGTAGCAGGCAGTACAAGGATGAGCAAATGATCCAGACTTCTTGTAAAAACATATAAAAAAAATTAAATCATGTAAAAACAATGATTGTTTTTGTTCACCAATTTATCAACATTGTCACACTGTAGTTAGTTGCTAGAATCTATGGGAAAAATATAAATAGGGTAGACATCACATGAACCCTTTGAGTTTTAATCGAATGACATAGGCATGGTGTGACAATCCAAGAATGACATGGTGACCGCAATGGACATTGAGATCTGGCTGGTGTTAATGATTTTGATAAAAGGCTATTTGATCGAAAATTGTGATTATAAAAAAACATAAAAAAAAAAAAATTAGAACTTGCGGCTTGGGCCACACCTAGATTAGTACCCTTACTAGATGAGTTTGGGGATAAATTTGGATTGAATAAATTTTGCTTTATTTAAGACTCATATTGGTTGTGATCAAGGATCAAAATTTTGTTTCACTGTGTTGTTTCGGTCACCTAGGAAACAGAAACGTTTTGATGTGTTTTAGAAATGTTTCGATCTATTTCAAAAAAAAGAATGAAAAAAAAAAAATTTAATAATTATTTTTTCAAAATATTGATCGAAACATACCAAAATATTTTGAAATACTTTAAAACATTCTGAAATAATTGTACAAATATAACAAAATATTTCGAAATATTATGAAACACTTCGAAATATTAGAATTTCGATTCCATCACTGATTCGCTTCAGTTTTCTTGGAAATGGAAATGTTTCGACCATTTCGAAATGATATTTTGATCTTTGGTTGGGATTAATTTGTAAATTTAAGTTGGTGCTTTAGTATGAAATTTTTTTTCTAATCAAATTATTTGTTTTGGAGGGGATGAAAATCGTTTTTCATGTGATACTTTGGAATGTTAGTCTTATTGTAGATGGTAGTTTAAAAATATTTTGGATTTTTATTGACGCCCTTGTCTACTGTTAGTTGTATCTACATACGTTTGATGAATGGGATGCGTATGTTTTATTGGAGGGTCAACGTGTCATCTTAGAACTATCAGGGAATCACCATATTATTTGGCCAAAAGTTAAGAGAGTGTGAATGATTTTTTTTTTGACATAAATATGTGGGTGGTGGCAAACAAATGGGGTTAGTTTGTGGGGGTAACATAGTAAATTGGTAATATAATATGATGGGGCTGGATTATACACCCCCCCCCCCAAAAAAAAAAAATGGTACTAAAATAGCTACGTTGTACGGGTAGATGGTATTAAAATCATGTTAAATATATGTGTATCTTATAATCCTATACATAGTGCTAGAATTTTTTACATTCAAATGTAGTATAAGACCAGATTAGAGAGTGTTAGTCCATTATGTGTTTTTAATGCCCTCCATATTACGATAACCAAACAAGCAATGGATGCACTAAAGATAAACTCATAATTACTCGGAGATCTGGGTTAACACGTTCCAAAATAGTGTGGGTTCGTGATCCAGATGACTAAAATTTTAAACTCCAAATTGTAATTCATATCACTAACCAACCGATGATCTGATTAATCCCAAGTAATAAACTTAAACCTCAAATTGTGACTCTAAGTGGTTATTTCTTTGTTTTGGTGATCTTTAAACTTATATTTTAATTTGTTGTGATTTAACTTTTTCTTGTAATACAAATGTGCAACCATTAGCTTCTATAATCTACAACCATTAGCAGATTGATTCCCTTAGTAACTTATTATAAATATAAAATAAATATTAGTCAACTATAAAAATAATTTCATATAATAGTCAAAGTGATCCGGATGAGAGTTATGAAGTGAACCACGACTAAAAATAACGTACCAACTACGTTTACCCTAATCACACCATATATCTTGAAAAAATATTGTACATTGTATCCATATTTGTTTCATGAACCACATTGACCCACCATCCGGGTAACATTGGATAAACCAGCCTTGCGTTTCTTTGGTGTTTGGTAATTGTAAGGCCATGTTGGATATGATTTGGTCTTCCTATTCTTTTGAGATATTTTTTTATGTCTATTCAATTTATTTGGCTTTCAATTCTTGTTTCTTTTCTTCTTACTTTTTCGATTCGGTTTTGTTTCCATTTCATTAAGTTGCTTAGCCTGGAGGGAAGTGCTGATTTAGTTAGTAGCTGGCATTAAAATCTTTTCGCTCCTCATTGGCTTTTTATATTTTGAAATTTAGACTATTTTCAGACTATGTGCCATTTGAGATGCCATACTCTATTGATTTCTTTTAACCTATAGTTTTATTGCATTGGGCAGCTGAAACTGTAATATACAGAATATTTTACTACGTGAATAGATCGGGTAATGGTTGTCTTACCCTCAGGGAGCTGAAACGCGGAAACTTAATTGTGGCAATGCAATATGCAGATGAAGAAGAGGACATCAACAAAGTTTTGAGGTAAATATAGCAGCACCTGAAATCTTGGTTTAGGTCAATGGATAGTAATCACTTGCGTGCTTGAAATTTCATATCTTTCCCTGAGAGAGTCCTCCTTCGAAGGGGTTATACTTTTCTCCAACCATTCGTTGCTGAAAGCCTTAAAAGCAGTAATAGTAGTATATGGTTTGAAGAAATTAATTTTTGATAAATTTTTTAAGGTCATTTTGTGTACAAATTTAGCTGGAAGCTTGCCAAAGCTACTCTGAACTGCTATTCTGGTATTATATTTATGAGTTAGTCTAACATGTGCTGGTTTCTGAGACTCTTGGTATGGTTTGTAGGATAAAATGAAAAAAGGATAGCTTGCCAGTACTAAGAAATGCTTTCCGCATGAGTTGATCAGATAACCTTGTTTTCAAACTCCTCAATTCACAGATCGGTTAATAGTGTCATGCAGATATCCCACTTGATGGGAAACATATAATGCATTGCTATTATTTATCTAGGAGCATAGGTGTATTCCTTTTTCATTCTTGTTATATGTGTCTGTATGACATTCTAATCGCTGTTATCATTTTATAATTTTCCTTTTACAAATTCATTTTTCACTGCAGGTACTTCTCTTATGAACACTTTTATGTGATATATTGCAAGTTTTGGGAGCTGGATACCGATCATGATTTTTTGATCGATAAAGAGAACCTTATTAGATATGGTAATCACGCACTGACCTACAGGATTGTTGACCGAATATTTTCTCAGGTTTGTTTCATTTATCTAGTGCTTTTGTTTTAAGACATGTTTGCTTTGCTCAAAAGATAAGAATATATAGTATTGATTGCTTTCTTTTGTCTTCTAGTTTCTTTATGTTTATCAGTATTGCAGGTTCCAAGAAAGTTCACCAGTAAGGTTGAAGGAAAGATGGGATATGAAGATTTTGTTTACTTCATATTGTCAGAGGAGGATAAATCATCTGAGCCTAGTCTTGAGTACTGGTATGTCTGCACCTTCTTTATCATTAACATATCCACTAATCTTGTAATTAACCCTCAACTCTCAGATAGGTAAAAATGCAATGTACATGTATGTATTAATGATGCCTAAGGAATTCAACCAAGAGTATGAAGAGTTGAAACTATCAAATTACAATTATAGAACAAGTCGTACCATCCATAATCAGCAGTCCAACTTTGAGTACCGAAAAGATGGAAATGTCTCAAATTGGAAACCCATAAGGTAGCTAGAAACTTGACTTTCTCAAAAAGAAATTTGACATAATTCGTTGTTTCTTTTAAATGTTCTACTATTTCCTTCCTTCCAAACAAAGATGGCCAGAACCATTTCAATTATGGATACCCTCTTACTCCTCCTAAAACCGCAAAATTCCTCCAAAAAGTTGAAAGCACCACCACTTGGAATCATCGAATCCATCCTCAGCACCCTAAACAATTTCTGATACAAGCACCACGCAACAGGACAAAGAAGAAAGAGATGATCAATGCTCTCATTACAATTTTTACATATAACACACCATGACGCCAATTAGGTGAAAAAATGTTACTTGGCCTTTTTCCTTTGAATCAAATCACAGGGTTTTAATCCTCCCATGTGCCATAATTCATCCAAAAACCTACACCCTGATTGATAGGCATCGCACAGGTATTTAGAAATATATTTGTGTGTGTGTGTGTGTGTATATTGTTTTTTGTTTTTTTTTTTGGGGGGGAGAGAGAGAGATTTCCTAAGATTAGTGGTTAATGTTAAGCTTGGGGCTGTGACATTGACGAAAATTATGGAAGGGAAAAAAAACAAATCTGAAACAATAATGAAAGATTGACATTATATGAGGGTGGTGCTTGGGCTCCCTCTTTGGGAAGCAAATGTGAAAGGGAAGACTGCGGAAGCCTTACAATGGACTTTTAGATCTGGAAAAACAACTTGAATGTGCTGGATATTCTGTTACCGGTTTTCACAAGTGTTAGAAATTGGATGGTTTACCGAGTAGTGGGATTGGTTGGCAATCTGGCCAGTCTACTCGGGGTTTCCAAGCATTGCTCAGCATCTAAAGATAGTACATTTGAATAACTTTATTTAATGTGATATGCTTTCCTCTCAGGAGAATCTTTGGAAGCTTGATGATTCAAGTATTGACATCATTCCTACAACTTTTCATATTTTTTGACAAAAGTTATTCTATTATCAATTATATGTACATATGAGATTGAATTTTCTTGTTCAGGTTCAAGTGCATAGATCTGGATGAAAATGGAGTTATTACAAGGAATGAAATGCAGTTTTTTTATGAGGAGCAGTTGCATAGAATGGAGTGCATGGCTCAGGAGCCTGTGCTTTTTGAGGATATTTTGTGTCAGATAGTTGACATGATTGGACCAGAGGTTTAATTCTATTATATTACGATTCTTCAAAATATTATACTTGATTCTTTTGATTGGATTGTTTTGATTTTCTTTTCTTGTGCACTAAATGTGTTGGAAGTAATTTTGAGGATGACTTCTAATGGCCACTCTAATAGTTTGCAATTCTTATTCGGCTTACCTATTTTCTTTTTTTTTTTCCCCATAAACGCATACCTTTTTCTTTCAATTGTTGCAATGAGCAACAACATTAGGCACAGATGTTTTCCCCAAAAAATTGGGTTGTAAATTTGTTCAGTCTTCTAATTAAAAAAATCTGATCTGACATCGAAAGAAGGTAATATAGTGTAGCAGAAACCTTGTGCTATCCGGAGGTAGACATGGGTAGGGTTAATTTTCTGACATTCTGTCAACTATGAATCCTTTGTCATATTCCTAAATGGTTCTGGGCCTGCATTTTTCTTATATACAATTACTTCTTCAGACTTGTACTTATAGTAAGGATGCAGTATTTAGTGAACTTTTGCAGCCATTAGAACCTGTCCTTGGCTTGCATATGGATCAAAACAAACTATTAGTTTGAGATTATAATGTGTTTAAGATACAAAAGTGGGAAGATAGTGATCAAATTTTTGAAGAGATTTGAGCCGAAGCATATATGGTGTTACTGTGAACATTCCTTGCCTTTCACCATAGCTGGCATCTTCTAGATTTCAATAATGATGTTTGATACTTTTAAGCTTCTTTTCTTGCAGAATGAAAGCTATTTTACGTTGAGTGACTTGAAGAGTAGCAAACTTTCGGGCAGCATGTTCAATGTTCTTTTTAACCTAAATAAGTTTATGGCCTTTGAAACACGAGATCCTTTTCTAATTCGTCAGGTACACGAAACATTATAATTTGTTCTTAGCAATTGGTTGATTTTACCTTAGGAAATGTTCTAGTCACAATTGACAGAATGTTGATAACAACCACAAGGATCTATTGCAAACAGGAGCGTGAGAACCCAACGTTGACAGAATGGGATCGCTTTGCACACAGGGAATATATTAGGCTTTCAATGGAGGAAGATGCTGAAGATGCCTCTAATGGAAGTGCTGATGTTTGGGATGAATCACTTGAGGCTCCCTTTTGAGTTCTAATTGTAAGCTTCCAAGCTCTGAGGTTTTTATATATTCGTTCAAAGTAAAATTTATTTTGTGGATCAATATTTCCATTGAGTCAAGTATACTGATGTTAAAATGGCAGTTTCAATTACTGGGGAAACTCTGTACTATATAATCACCGTTGCTTAAACTCCATGGTATGCATATGAAATGCAGATGAGAGTTGGGTTATTGTAATTCTTCCAGCCTAACAAATAATTGTGCTGAAAAGTTAGTGATAAAAAGTTTAGTGAAACAGACTATTGTGATGTTGATGGTTGAATAGTATCATCTTATTCCCATCGATTTCTTTCTGTGTGCAAGTTCTGACAAACATTGATGGATTTGTGAAGCAGATGTATTTAACTATGTACATTACACCTTAATAACCAAACATTATCTGACAGTGTGCCCTCCGTTTTTTTGTGTGGCCCATATGTGCATAATTGTTGTAAAGATAGTACGTTTGTAAGTGTATATAATGTATATTAATCTTGTGAGAAACCTGAACTGGGAACAACATAGATCAAGGGGTCACTCATTAGGCATCACTATATATCCCTCTTAGTTGTTGAAATATCTTAAACTGCAGGAGTTTTCTGAGAATTCTTTGTTTCGAGCTGCCTACCAAGCAACAAGGCCACAATTTTGCTGGAGAAGTGATTGAATGGGATCATCAAACAATGTCGAACCCGGCGAAGAGGTGTTCTGGGTTCACAGAGTGAAATTCATTGATCTGCAGAGCATGCCAACCATGTGATGGTGGCCATAAGTGCCATGTTCGTGTGAAAGCTTTGAACTAGCATAGTAAAGAGCTCGTCGACAGTGGGCTAATTGGTGATAGGTGATTACTCAAATCAGTTTATGGTTACACAACTTTGTAGCAACTTGCCTCCTCAGCAGGAAGAAATCATTACTTTTAAGTATTTCTTCTAGAGGTAATGGTTAGGTACTGTTTTGACACATCTTTCTCAGAATGGTATCAGTGTAGTTAAGTTGTTTTGGCGCTTTTTTGTATTCTTTGCAATTCATACTTCAATGGTGGTTAATATTCTATTTCTGTCGGGAATTTTTCTGTATCTACTTTCTTCAGTTTGAAATTTTTTATGACGGCATTTTTTTTTTCCTTTCTAAGATTAGCTATTTTATTGCTTTCTGCTGAAGAAATTGGAAATCTAATCTAATGATGACCAGCATGAGCACTGTGCTACATAGATTTAGATCGAGATCCCTGTCATTGCACTTTTCCTCAAGTTATCTCAATTTTCTTGAATTGTAGATCGCCCATCATGTATAGGTAGAGAATACACTTATAGAGTGAAATCTTTTTTCAATTCGTGGCCAATGATCTACCATCTACAGAAAGTGTAGCAGAAGGATCCGAATTTCATAGGTTTGATGAACTGTGGAGATGGAATACTTGAAGGATCATAAATTATGGAAGATGAAGCAGAACAGAGGCTCTTGGTATTGGGTATCACTAATATTCGGGAAGGATGTTGTATGTTAATACCTACCTACTTATGTGTCTTGCTTATTTCTATGCTTGTTTTAGGATGAAATGCATTATATTCCCCTTTAGTTTCGGCTGGTTACCCAACGAACAATGTTACGAACTTATAGTCATTAGATTAATGAGTTTTATCACTGATTCAACGGGTGCAGTTGATTTGGTGCATAAAGAATTACCTGTGAAACATTATTTAACTTTAGAAAATTGCAAACAATCTCCTTGGGATACGGATTGGAGTGCAATGTTATTTTTTTCTTTTCCTTTTAGAACTAATGGTCAAATGTCTGAAGTTAGAAATTTGTCTAAGGCAATAGTGTTGTTGAAGTATCCTCTTTGGCTATCTTACATCGGATAGCCTAGGGTGTGTGTGTTTGTTTATAAGTCATTCTTTGGCCCTCACACTAACACAACACAGTGTGAGTGATTGAAGTTTCATAAAAAAAATCAGAACCCATGTGTGTGTTTAGTGGGACGTCTGGTGGTGGGCTCAGCAGCCTCCTATTTGAGACATGTGTCTCTGGGGCCCTGCCTGGGAGGGTAGGGGTTGGGGTTATCTCACATCCGATAGATAGTTTAAGGTGTGTGTATTTATAAGTCTTCTTTGACCCTCACATTGTTAGTGCGAGTAGTTGAAGTTTGATCAAAAAAAAGTATCCTACTAATTTTTTTTTTCTTTTTTGAAAATTGTTCTATCCTTTAGTTTTTTCAAGAAAGACAAATTTTACACGGGCAGATTAGTTAAAACTAAATATATAAATGACATTTTTATATTTTTAATGCTTTATTCTCCGTTAGCTACTGCATTGTAATTTGTAACCTTGTGACAGTTAGTTACGTGCATATTTTCATACTATGGAAATTATACTAAAGTCGTTCATTTTTTTTTTTTTGAGGGATAAATTAGGTTTTGTTTCAATCTGTTATGTTAGCAATCATCCTTGTGACTTACGGCATTTTAACTAGTAGCCTTAGGAGAATCACCCGTATATGTTCGAAATATAGGGCTTATATGCAACTTGATCAAAACTATAATGATAAATAAATATCAAAATGTTCTAAAACAAGCAAATTTATGTAGGTGTAAATAACTAACTAAAACAAATTAAGAAATAGAAAAGCAGTACTGAAAGTTAGAGAAGAATGAAAAGATATATGTATCATTCGGTGTGTGTTTCATTCAAAAATGCAAGGCTTATTTATAGACAAAACAAATAGACTTCTTTCAAGGCAAAATAAATAGGCTTCTTGCATTATCGGTAGAAGGATGGAGGACTCTCATACCCATAAAATGTGATAACTATTTGTGCATTTTATGGTCATGTCTAAGTACTATTTGCTATTATTTATGTATAGTAGTCATTCAAATTAATAGTATTTGCAATACTCCCCTTTGGATGACTATTTGCATAACATTAAGGTCAAAAATCCAATTTTCATAAAATCGTTGGGATCCTAAGTACTGCCTCCTTAAAAACTTTGTTAAGTAAAACCCAGTGGAAAAAACCTTAGCGAAGGAAAAAAGAGTATTGGTCTTCCCCTGTTGAAGACATCCATTCAAAATAATGATTGTTCAGCTGATAGATCTTTGAGACGCAACATTCCAATTTGGTTCACCAATTTTTGGAATGTAGTCGGTGGGAGTGTTGTCGAGCAAATCTGTTGAACATTAATATCATCGTTCTTCTCCAGCTCATGAGTGTAAAAGAATTTTGGTGATATATATTTTGTTCTATCACTTTTGATGTATTCTTCCTTAAGTTGTGTGATACAAGTTGTATTATCCTCGTATAATATTGTTGGGATGTCTTTGATTGAAAACATTCCACTTTGTTCTTAAATATGTTGGATCAGGGATCTTAGCCAAATACATTTTCGACTTACTTCATAGATGACTAGTATTTTAGAGTGATTGGATGATATAGCAATTATTGTTTGCTTAACCGATTTTCATGATATAGTTGTACCACCATAAGTAAACACATATCCAGTTTGCGATTGAGCCTTGTGTGGATTAGAAAGAAAATCGGCATCTGCATATCCAACTAACTGTGGACTTTGGTCATTCGTGTAGAATAACCCTATGTCCACTATCCCACGGAGATACTGTAATACATGCTTGATCCCATTTCAATTGTGACGTCTCTAAAACCGGGGGTCTTTTGTCAATCTGTTGATCATCCATCAACCCGCAGAAGCACCTGTGAATGTTGCATAACCCAACACCACGGCATAACATCCCCTTCACCAGGATCACAAACGACACAGCATTTGTGGTGCGTATTTAAAAGTGTGTGGCACCAGGATCAAATAAAATAAGTGCCTAAGAATTATTTACAAGAATAATTCCTTCTAACTAAGTCATGACAAAGACTTGACCCTGGGTATCAACACCCTGTACTCTAGCACCTTGTCCCATCTATTGTGGTTGTTTCTCTAGCGGTGGTCTATACTGAGTTTGCTATCTAGTAGCCTAGGTTGGTTGAGTAATCAATTGGTTTGGCATCTGGGTGTTCTGTTGATAAGGCCTATGACCGGTCTGTCCTTGAGGAGTGATAAATAGACAATTGCTATTGATGTGTCTCATGCCTCCAAATCCAAAACACCATCTCAAATTAGCTATGGTCCCCCAGGTCCACAAATCGGTCCACTTCTCTGGCCGGTAACCTAATTTGGATGATGGTATAGAGTTGTCCTTAGGGATCCACCGCTACCACCACTATTATTCACTAGGCCTCCCCGACATTGTTGTTGACTTTGGGTCTTCTCCAAATCCTATTCAACTAAGGTATTTCTCTCGACTAAATCTTTTTAGTCCCTGAGCTTTAGGGCTATTTGTCATTCCTTAATAGATCACCTTTGTGTTGGGCAGAAGTGGGGAAAAGTAATTTATTTGGTCCAAAGATTGTGAGGTAGACCACTAAAAAGGTACAATTAAAAAGGGTGAGTATGTTAAAGCCAACAAAAGAGTTGTACAGATTGGAGGAGGAGGTCATTGGAGTTTAAAAAGGGTGAGTATGTATTCTTGAAGGGGTCACCCCGGAAAAGAGTATTTCATTTTGGGGAAAAGGGGAAGTTGACTTCAACGTAAATTAAGCCTTTTGAGATAGTGAAATGAGTAGGAATGATGACATACAAGTTTTCTTTACGACCCCAGCTTTTGGGAGTTCATGACATATCCCATGTTTCCATGCTACAGAAATGTGAGCCAAACACCTCACACATTGTTGATTAGCAAGACATCTAGATATAAGAGGACATAAGATACAATGAAACACCAATACAAATTCTTAATACAAGGGAACAAGTTTTACACAACAAAGTTATACCTTTTGTGAAGTTGTTAAGGCAACACCAAGGCGTCAAAGAAGCTACTTGGGAATTAGAGATGGATATGCAAGCACAATATCCACATCTTTTCAACCTTGGAGGTTAGTAGCAAGTTTCTGGGACGAAACTTATTTTAAGGGGGATGGACTGTAAGATCCCTGGTTTCATTTAAATATAATTATTTTTAAAATTATGAGAGAAATTTTGAATTATTGTTAAAAGAATAACTGTGTAATTTTGAGTTTTACGCTTATTGACTTTTGAGTCAAATTTAGTTTTTAATGTATTTAAGGTTAAAAAGGATAATTAGGTAAATTTATCCATATTTATTAGATCAAAATAACATTACCATTAAATCCATGAGATCGAAAAACCTTGGAATAGACGTTCACCTCATATAGCGGTTTAGAGGGATAAAATGGTAATTTTGAGATTTTGGATGTAAGTTGACTTTGGTTTTGAGATAACTCATAAAAATAAATATTTTTAGCTTAAAACAATATTAAAAATAGATATACAAAGTCGAAAAACCTTAAGGTAGCCATACGAATCAAATTTGAGATATTTGGGGCAAAACTATAAGTTCTAACAAAAAATGCATTTTTTGACATGATGAACAATAATTGACTAAAATTTCTAGCTATAACACCCCATTTTCAACCAATTTCTCCCATTGTTTCTCACCCGATTCCACTCTTAGAATCCTTGAACTAGAGAAGAGGGAAGAAGAAAGTCTGTAGGGCTTGGGTTTTGCTGGGGAATTCTAGGAACTTGATTAGGAGTTCTTGGTTCCCAAGTAAGGTTTTCCTCTCTCTTGTATTTATATTATGCATATCATGTATTTTCTTTAACTAAAACTTAGAATGTGTTGATGGCAAAATTATTAATTATAAATCTTGATTTAATATTAGGTGTGCCCTGAATTGTGAACCTACATACATAAAGATATTTCTAGTGTTTTGGTTTTGAAACTCTGGTTTGATTTTTGTTATGGGTATTCGATTAAATCTATTATTTGGGGTTTTAGAGTATGCTATGATCTTGTACATAACACATATGATTTATTTCTTGGAAATTGGTATGTTGCTTTAAAACGCAAAATTTGGGATTTTGAGCCTACTACATATCTATACTACTTTAAATTACCAACGTCCATGAAAAATATTTTTTTCTAACTTTGTCCTCTAACATTACAACTATATCATCCTTATCCTTCAAACTTAATGCTACACTAAAGCTAATCATCACCTCTAATTACTTCCCAACAGTTACTCTCTTTCTCCCTACTTTCTCTCCCTATTTCCTCTCTCAAACAAACCGTCATGCCCTCACTTTTCACCTTCTCCTCTCCGTCTCTCTC